TTGGCTCTACAACTAACAGCCTTGGGGAGTCTCATTTATCTTCGATATTCGAGGAAAGACTTTCCGTAGATTCATCAGAAGTCATTTTCGTAGGGGTAAATGTCATGATCTTCAGTTCCAATTTCGTCCTATTAAGAACAATCGAATGATTCAGCCTTGCACCTCTAATCAGACCTTGGCGGGTCAAAACAGTGCTGTCTGGAATTGGATCACCATTTAATCTAGATCCTTCATAGTATTGTAAATTATGCCCTTAAGACAAGAACAACAACCCCATTATGATATACCAACAACATACATCACCAATGAACTCCAATATATCAGAACAATAATTTATAGATGTACTAATTAGCTTTAAAAACACTTATCCTGGGACGGACTACATACCAACTGTTTTTCTACAAGACCTACCTAAACTACTGAAGCATATCTCCTTGAATTCATAAATGACTAATGGAGACAACATGAATTTCCTCACCAGTGACAAGAAGTCACTGTGATACCAATCTCAAAATAAAATAAACCTGAACATAATCCAGCTATATCTCTAACTAACAGCCTCTGTGAATTGGTGGAGATAATCGTGAATAGAAGACTGGTAGGGCACATAGAATGTCATAATCTACTCCAACAGGGACAAAACAGCTCCAGAAAGTAGAGATCTATCGGTAATAATACCATAGACATAGAGTCAGAAATACATGTGACATTCTCAAACAAACAAAAACACATAGCTATATGCTCATGACGAAGCCTGGAGAAATGATATTATGGAAACTTTGCAACAATGGAAGATCTAAGGCAAGATGTCAGCAATCGCGAAGAAAATCTTGAAAGTAGATCCTTTCGAGTTAGAGTCAATGGAGAACTATCGAATTTGAATACCCAAGAAAACGGTACACCACAAGGTTTCAATATTAGAGTAATGTTATCACTTACGGCAATCAACCAGATGATAAAATATATCGAACTACCAGTGAAATCACGACTTTAAGCTGTTGATCTACTCCTGATTATCAAAGGAAAAAATAATAAAACAGTGAGGTTATGCTAGAGTATTCCAGCATCACCCCACAGTTCAGTTAGTGATCTGGTCTGAATCAACAGAACTCGTTTTCTCTCCAGAAAAAAACCAGGTTATTACTCTTTTCGAAAACACACATCAGAAACCGACCAATGCTGCAACTCTATGGCAGAAATATAGGATATGTTGACCAAATAACATTTTTTTAAATGATCTTTGATCAAAAATTGAATTGAGAAAATGATACATTCACAATCTTATCAGAAAGTTCCCGGGAGGTTCGAATTTGATGAGGATGCTATCCAACACAACATGGGGTGCTGGTACAACTACAATTATTCGACTCTACAGATATATTTTCAGGTCCAGAATCGACTACGGATCAACATCATATGCTTCGACAATCCAGAAATTAGACGTTGTCCAAAATACAGCACTTCGAATAGCTTTAGGAGCTCATCGAACATGTCTAAAGAAAAAATCATTCTGCGAAGCAGATGAAACCTCTCCATGTTACCATGTTACTCTTATGCTACTTCTATTGCAACCAACCCAACATATTTTACTTATCACTCAACTCGATTCGAAATAAATTTCACAGGACATCCAAGAACAGACACTCCTTTTCGTGAAAAAATCAACAAATACTTGAAACAATCAGAGCATACACTTTCTTCAGTATTTTCAAATTCATGCTACCCCTCCTCCGTGGATGATCATTCCCCTATATGTGACTCCTCTTCATCCTCTTTCACAAAAAATGATACACTTCTCCAAATTCTGTTCAACCAATTCAAACAGAAACTAACCCTGTATGAGAACTATGTAATTCTATACTCCGGAGACTCAAAAACATATCGGGGAGTTGGCTCAGGTCTAGTGCCACTGGATGAAACACTGAATAGAAGTACAAGCTAACTCAAGCTACATGCAAATACACAGCTGCACTCTTTGCAATAATGCAAGCAGTAATATTCCTGAAGGATCATCTTGTTGATAGATTTTTGATTGTAACAGACTATTTGAGTGCAATTGAGGGTACGCAACAGGTATATACAGACAATTCCATAATACTACTACTGGAAAATGAACTCCATAGAATCGGAGAGTAATGGAAGAAAATAATACTGATATGGGTTCTATTTCTTATTGGAATTGCTTGTAACGAAAAAGCAAATATTGCAGCCAATGAAGCAATAGACGATCATATTCACCAAGAAAACTCCGTCGGATACGAAAAGATACATCAAAAATTGGATCCTAGAAGAGTGGCAGAGGAAATGACAACATAAGAATTCGAAATTAGTCGAAATAAAGCCATCCGTAAAATTCAGGACACACCATCCAAAAACAAGAAATCATCAGGTAATCCTCTGTCCACTACGTATTGGATATGCCAAATTTTCGCACGATTTCATTTTTTTTTCTGATCGATTCGGCCGTTACTTGATGAAGATCCATAGTAATTTCATAAACTACAACTCACGATTTGATCTCCACATACTTGTGGAGTTCAAATCGTGAATTGTACTTTACGAAACTTCCTTTTTTTCGCACGAGAAAGAAACAATTTGTGATATATAAAAACTGTAGAACACTTTTTTCAAATTTGCACGAAGTACCAAGGAATAAAAATAAAATTCAGAATACCGAAAGAACTACGAGAAACTCAGTGACACTTGTAATTTTTAGAATCTCATGTCAAATCTCTGACAAATACCAACATGCTTCATTCAATTTGAATTCAATGGTCATGTAATGTAACGTACTACATGGGCTGAAAAGTCTCGGGTCTAACATATAGATGGCGCTAGTCTTATTGCATTCACCGCTTTCTCAGTCAGTATTAACCATCAAAAGAAATTTGTTGAAATTTCAGGATAGTCTACTAATAAGTTTGTGAGTTATTGTGCTGAGAGTGACACTACTTTTGAAATTTTCAAAACAATGGATCAAAAACAATTTCGTAATTTAATTATACACAGCTTCTTGATGAAGATGAATACCGTTCAAGCAAAGTAATGGCTTGAAAAGTGTTATAAAGACTGACCTCCATCAGAAACAACAATCAAACGTTGGTTTTCTGACTTCAAACGTGGTCGTAGAGACACCGATGCAGAATGCGGTGGACGTCCAATTGAGGCAGTAACACCAGAAAACATGAGAAGAATCCACAAAATTGTTTTGAATGATTGAATGGTGAAGTTGTGTGAGTTAGCTAACATTGTGAAGATATCAAAAGAACGTGTTGGCATCATATTGCATGAGCATTTGGCTATGAGACAGCTCTGTTCGAATTGAGTTTCGCGCGAGCTCACTGTTGACCAAAAACAAGGCCTTAATAATTCTGAGCAGTGTTTGGCCATGTGTAAACATAACAAATTGAAATTTTTGCATCGATATGTGACGATTGATGAAACATACAACCGTTACTTCACTTCAGAATCAAAACGATCCTCATCTGAGAGGTGAGCAACTGCTAAACCTCGTCCAAAGCGCCCGAAAGCACAACAATCAACTGGAAAGATGATGGCCTCGATATTTTGAAATGTGCATGGTAAATATTACATTGAATATTACAGTGGATGTTACATATCGTTATTGTAGTGTTTGAAGGCCGGAATTGCAAAGAAACGATCGCACATGGCGATAAAAAACATTTTGTTTTAGCAAGACAACGCACCGTGTCACAAGTCTACCAAAACAATGGCAAAACTACATGAATTGAACTTCGAATTGCTCCCACATCCACCATATTCGACAGATTTGTCTCCCAGCGACTACTGGCTGTTTGCAGACCTCCAAAAATGCCCACGAGTAAAAAATTTCACTCAAATGAAATAGTTAGTACTGAAACTGAGGCCTATTTTGAGTCAAAAGATAAATCGTCCTACAAAACTGATATTGAAATATAAGAGCGGCGCTGGAATGATGGTGTGGCTTGAGATTATGTTGATGAATGTAGCCAATGTTGATTGAGAAAATACGCGTTTTTTTTTCTCAAGCCCAGGACTTTTCAGTCCATGATAGCTACAAAAACCCTAGTGGTTAATTCGCTCATTTCGAAATAAAAAATAGTGTAAGGATTAATATAAGAATGTAGGCTTTCACGGCTGGAGGCAATGTTTCGGTTTTGCCGTAGTCTTCTTTGGTTATAATCTCCAAATGTTTCGACTGCAACTGCGGCAGTCATCTTCAGTGGCGTGGCCGAATTACTTTTCTTGATGTGTCAACTGAAACTGAATCTTTCATTTCTGCCATGTTAGTTATTGTGCTAATTTTTCGCGCACTTTCTGTTATGGCGGATGTCGCGCGTACTTCCTGCACGATTTGGTAGATTTGGCGCTTTCCAATGCTGTGTGCCAGAACTTTGATAAATATGTTCTCTCTTCCTTTCTGTTGTAGTTCTCTTGGTATTTGTGTATTTAGATGCCATAGAAAAACATGCATTGTTCGATGGAGAACACAAAATCCTTTTCGGAAATATCGGGAGGCTGGCAACGTCGAATCATTATTCAATAAAAATGTATTTAGAAGCCTTCGAAATACGCAATCACCAAGAGAACTCTAACAAAAACGAAGAGAGAATATATCTACCAAAGATCTGGCACACCGCATTGAAAGGCGTCAATACGAAGTCATCTCACCCAAACCGCGTTGGAAGTACGCCCACATGCGCCATTACAGAAAGTGCGCGAAAAATCAGCACTATGAATGTCGTGGCAGAAATGAGAGTCCCAGTTTCACTTGATACGTTAAGAAGAGTAATTCAACCACGCCACTGTATATGACTACCGCAGTTGCAGTTAAAACGTTTGAAAATTGTTACCAAAGAAGACTACGGCAAAACCCGGAAACCAACCACAACATTGACGCCAGCCGTGAAAGCATACATTCCTATATTACCTTTTTTCATTTTGAACCTGACTACAGTAATGGTTATCAATAAATGTCCAATAAAATATTCCGATATAATCTATTCTTTATTATCTCCACTATCAACAATTTCATGTAATCCCCTATTACATATCTTCAGAAAAATCATTTCCATAACCCAGGTGGAGCAGATCAGGAAATTGGCAACAGCATAAAAATATATAATCATGGGATCACTTTTGGTTATGTCCTTCACGTACCCTGAAAAAAACCATAACAGATTATTTTTTTTATAAGTGATACCCCTTTTATTGATACATACATATTAGGTATATGTAAGAATTCAACGAAAAATAAATAATAATTGCACAAAGAAACTTTCCCTTAGTTATCTTGAATCTTTTTTTTTTTCATAAAAGAACAAGAGCGATTTCGGTGAAATTGGTTGTATTTGTGGACAACTACGTCACTGTATTTCCTATGATGTCAGTGCTTTCATCTCTTCATTGATTTTTCGGAAATTCATAGATTTTCCACCGATATTGTACACTATTTTTATGGGACAAAACGTTGTGGATAATTATATATAAAAATCTGGTGTTGATTCTAATGAAAATACGTTTTTTCTGAAATAATTCCAATGACAACTTGGCTGACGTTGGGTGACATTCAAGATTTTGGACGATACAAGAAAGTCACATAGGAAATAAAAGACTCCGATCACGATAAATCATACTAATTTGATCTATATTAGATGACGAAAGAAGAAAAACAATCAGCTCTTAAAGCATAATGTTCAATATGTGGAAAAATTTTCAAAATACGAGGATTGAAAATCCAAATATTGAATTGTTTCACTAATAACATTACAAAATCGACTAATTGTTATGCCAAAATTTCTGAAAAACATATAAATCATAATGACATCCTCAAAAAACTCTCGAAAGGTGTCTGACGGTGATATAACAGCAGCTGTTAGATTTCTCTGTTCTACTGATAGTCCTGTTGAATTTGATGCTGCAACATTGGAAGAATTACAAAATAAACATCCTTCTTCTGAAAGTTTATACAATTCTGGACAGTATACAATTTCTCATAGTCCTCTGGAAGTTAACAAGCGTAGTTGTTCTCAGAGGAGTGAGATCTCTTTGCAACGGTTCTTGTGGAGGAGGTGATCAATTGCTACCGTTCCATATTCAAGATATGCAAAACTATAGTTCCGGTAGTTGTGGCGAACATCTTTTGAATTCATTAACGAACCTTTGCAATATGCTACTTTCTGGAAAGGTCAATCAAGACATACGTTCTATTTTATAAGTTGCTCCTTTATATGCGTTGAAGAAAAAGACTGGCGGTTTACGTCCTATAGCTGTTGGAAATTTGTATCGACGTTTAGTAGCGAAACTTGCTTATTTCAATCTATGAGAAAGTCTTGGAAATCTATTTCGTCCTCAACAATTTGGATTCGAAATGAATAGTGATTGCGAGGCAGTAGCCCATGCTGCACGATGTTATACCCTAATCCAGTTGAAAACGTTTTTCTGAAACTCGAGTTTAAGAATGCATTCAATACTATAGACAAGAATTTCATGTAACATTCGGGGGTTAACGCCATACCAGACATATACCCTTTCATTAAACAATGTTACAGTGAACCTTCTTTCTTAATATTTGGTAACGAAATTATAATGTCCGAACAAGGAGTACAGTAGGGAGATCCACTTGGACCACTATTGTTTCGTTTTCTGTCCATCATATTATAACTAAAATATCCACTGAATTCAACTGCTGATATCTGGATGATGGTTCAATGGGTGACAAAGCAAATGTGGTATTAGATAATGTTTGTAACACAATAAGTCATTCGAAAGATCTGACACTTGAGCTGAATTTCAAGAAATGCGAACTCATTTTTCTGGAATGACAAGACCCTAACATTATCGATCAATTCAACCTAATATCTCCTGGTATACGATAGATAGAAAAACCCAACTGGTTTCTTCTTATTGTCCCATTATCTGACGATGCCTCAAAATATTGTTTGGAAGAAAAATAACAATCACTTTGTGTCATGTCAGGACGTTTATCTATTTTACCAACACATGTCGCATTCCATTTATTGAAGAATTCATTAACCCTTCCAGAATTATCGTATAATTTGAGGTGCAGCCTTAATTGGCATGAAGAACAGGAATTACAAAATATCGATGACGAATTAAGAAGGATGCTGGAACTCATCACTAATAACCGTTTTGAAGACGAAACTTGGTTACAGCCATCACTTTCAGTTTCTAGAGGGAGATTAGGGATTCGTTCAGTAACTTCACTCGCTTTGCCGTCATTTTTGTCCTCAATTTGCACTGTTTCCAATCTGATAGAGTTCATCTTACAATACCCAAAGCCAATATCTGATTATGTTTTTGATCGGAGCAAATCTCTTTGGGAATCTAGAACTAGCCAAACAATGAAAATTGAAGAAATGGAAAACCAGAGGGCATGGGATAAACCATTACAAGATCAAGCAACTAGTATTTTATTGAAGACAGCTTCTGAGACTTTAAAAAATAAGGCTCGTCTTCTCGCAGTTACTGTGAAAGAATCTGGTGCTTGATTAAATGCTGTTCTTGTAGCATCACTTGGGACTCTATTGGATAACGACTCTTTCATACTTGCCATTGGATTTCGACTTGGTACACCACTGTGTGTTCAACACTTTTGTAAATCTGGTGCATTTGTGGATGAATCAGGTACTCATGGGTTAGGCTGCCGTTTAAGCGTTGGTCGTTTATCTCTTCATTGTGCAATTGATGATCTTATCAAAAGGGCTTCAACTTCAGCAAAAATTCCTACGATTTAGAACCCATAAGCACAAGTCGAGACGACGGAAAACGTCCAGATGGTATGACACTTGTTCCATGGAAAATCTGTTATTTGGCACTTTACTTGCGTAGATACATTAGCAACTTGCCATCTTCCTGCTACTTCTGCGAAATCCGGTGCTGCCGTCTCTTTAGGAGAAAGTTCCAAACTGCGGAAATATTAGAATTTTGGAAATAAATATATCTTTCGCCCAATAGCTGTTGAAACTTTTGGTGTTTTTGGCTCTGAAGCCTTATCTTTCATCAATGAAATTGGGAAAAAAGTAACCGATGAAACCCACGAATCAAGAGACACAACTTTTCCCATTCAAAAAATTAGTAACGCCATCCAAAGAGGAAGTGCTGCTTCGTTTTTTGGTACTCTTCCTGATTCCAAAAAAAACTTGATGAAATTTACATGTTTCCTGAAAACCAATTTTATAAAGAAAAGAGAGGTAATAACAAACCACTTTATGGAATTGAAACAAAAGCAAATGGAAAAAATACTTCTTCTTAGCTTAATTCTGAAATGGGTTTCAAAGATATTTCGAATTGTTCAGTGATAAATTCTCCAGTCAAACCCTTGGGTTGCAGCATCTGCAGTGATATCATCCAAAGTGGTGTGAAAGTATTCGATCCAGGAGCATACTGGTCCAAATCAAATTTTTTTTTTACTTTTCAAATCACTGAAACCACACCAATGTTGGTCTAAGGTGAAGACGAAATAATTCTCCATCTTTAAACAGATAATGTGAAAAATTTCCGAAGGAAAGAGGAAAGCAATCGAGTCAGAAATAAATATTTATTGGAAATTGTCGTAATGAACTATAGAAAGGAAAATGGGAAATGAAACATTATGTGTCCGGTCTACATAATTTTTTGTTTTTTATGTTTGTGGTAGGTCGTTGAAACAGAATGAGACATTCGCTATATAGACAAAGTAGGGTTTTTCATCGACCTATTTTGGGTATTTGTAACCTTCCACAATCTGAAAAATATAATAAAATCCTATACTATACCTACTACAGTCCACTTATCTAATGAAGCTACATTATGTTTTTTCCACTTGTATTTGTAACTAACGTTATTGCAGTTTCGTCCAATAAGAACATTATTAAACGAATACAATGAACTATGGAAAGCAGCAGCGATAGTGAGTTTGAAAATGTGACTCACGAAATTTTCGATGCAGCTGCTACTACAGCATAATTATTGCCAAAAAATTGAAGTCCAGGTATGAAAACGTTTATGATTCATTCTCGGAATGTAATTCTGGCTTATATGGTGCAAAAATCTGAAACTGTCAAGTCCTCTATCTTGTGGAGCATGTACTCTATGTTGAAAAGTACCATTTCAGTGTAGAAACATGTGAATATAGTCACTTTTCCAAAGGTTATCGCATTCCTTTGAAGCAAGAATGTTAGTTATGAAATGAAAAAAAAACTTCAACAGCAAGCAGATCAACAAATCTATTAGGAAAGCAAAGAATGAAACATATCGTATGTGGAAGGGGTAGCAACAATTTTTGGATTAGCCGGTGCGTATGGACGGGAGGAACTAACAAAAATGTAAATTCATCTGATAAACGACAAGAAAGACATGTTGCTTGTTAAAATACCAGATCCAAAAATATTCATTAGGGAAAATTTTGTTATAATTTGGCAAAAAACGTGCTGTTGTATAGACGATATTTATCTTCACGGCCATCTTATACTCCACATAACAAATTATTGGTGAAATACAAAAACAAAAAATGTTCGATTCAACCAGTTGGTTCTTGAATTTGGAATTCTAAAAATTACACAGGCCATATCATTCGTCGAATTCAAGCGACTTCACTTGTTGATTATGGCAGAAACATCACAAATTTGAAGCGACACGGAGGCTGTGAGTTCACCAATATCGCTAAAGGATATATAGACAATTCACTCACAAGCAAAATTAAAATTGCCAAGACCATTTAAAAATTATCAAATGAAAACAATCAATGTGAAATGGAAACTTTATATTCTTGTTCTGTTTCAAACAAATTGAATCCTTCCAAAAATAGCAGTTGATCTGATTCTCATTATAAATAAGAAATTGAATGTTTCTGTTAGTACCTCGTATTGTCTTTCGAATTTCAATACAGGGCGTTTCAACGAAAACTTGATTCCCACTGTAAGTCAGAAACGGACGTGTAATCGAAAATTTCAAAGAGCACATCAATTTTTATTTCTAGGGATATTATTTCTGATATGGGAATCATACCCGAAACTTCACTTCCCTGCGGTCAGCAACTTCCTCCCCTATTTTTTCATTGCAGGGGGGGTCGAGTGATACATCATTTGTAAGGTCTTTTGTCCCTTTATTAATTATGTGATTTTTTTAGGAAGTGTTCCATTTGTTATTGAGAAAATCAACTTTACATCAATGTCAACACAATCAACAGATAAAGTGTTCAAAATGACCTCCACCTAGTTCCATACAATAATACAGTCTACTTTCGAAAGCGTTCCTTACATTATTGAAGATGTCAGAAGTCAGAAATCGGCATTCCCGCCCGAACAATTCTCTGTCGCAGGTCTTCTAGATTTGAAAAATGTATTTAATTAGTAGTAAACGTTTTGGAATGGACGACCCTGTTAGTTTTTTCTGCACTGGTAGTTTTTGTTGAACCCAGTTGTCGCAGAACATAAAGTAGATAGTTGGCCATTGTCACTTCTTCACCAATTATTATTCAGTCATCCTTGTTCACTGTGTTCCAACATGGTTCATTCTTCTGAAGAGAGAATAGAAATTGTTGAAACCTATTATCGAAATAATGAATGTGCTNTTATTAAAAGTTTTAATTCATTATTCTTCTTTGTATCCAGTGAGGTGTCTACCTCTTTTAACTTGATGACTATTTTATTGTATTGACATGTTTCAATTGTTTAGATATAACATTCTTTTCGACACGGCCAACCTCACTAACAGTAAGTTGTATAAAAAAAACATTTTTATTATAAAATAACTTTTTCATATTGTATTATCACCATAAAACATTTGTAGCTTTTCCCTGAAGATGATAATAAATTTTATCGAAATATTGGAATAACTTGTGTTATAAGAGTACACTTCCGTTCTGCTGTTCACCCAAAGAAATTCCCAAGTTTTGTTCTTAACTAGTCAGCAAAGACTGTCCTTCAACTATATATGTATATATATATGAAGGGCATAAAACCAGTTTATTGTTATGGGTGAATGAGAAACACTGAAAAGTATTTTCGAATATCACGAAAGGATTAGCAATTGTATTTCGAGGGTAAAAACGATTATTCTTTCGAACGAGTCTCTCTGAGATATTGATAAATGTTCATGGGTGCCTACGCAAAAAAGGTAGAAAAGATGTTTTTTATTCGTTTTGTTTTGAGATTTTCCTGAAAATACCATACTTACTGGTAATTGGTCCAAATATCAATCCAAGACAACCAGTCAGAAACATATATAAAGAGTAAGCCGTGGAAAAATTATTCTTATACATTTCGGATATCACTAGTGGAAGAGGCGTTTCTATAAAGCCTCTCGTCAATCCTACCAGTCCAACAGTTATCATTTTCCATGTGTAACCTTCGCCAAGTACAAAAGCTGAAAAAAAAATTGTGTTTGCATATCATCTTATAACAAGTTTTTCATCAACTTCCCGGAAATGAACGAGTTGGATGTTGTAGGTGAATGCAATATTATCATTGATAACATTTTCTTCAGTTCAAATACTCAGTAGAGGGTGGTCCCAGAAGTACATGACCCAACAAAAAGAAATTATTTTTGTGAAACATGTACTCATTTCTCCACATAATCTCTTTGCAGATGTATAGGTTCACTTTTTATAGCGACTTTCAATAAGTTCGATACTGTTTTTATAATAAGAACTGGTTTGTTCTTCAAAATAGCCATAAACTGCCTACATCATCGCTGGAAAATCTTTCACCATTGAATTATTTTATCAAATATGAGAACAAAAAATAATCCAAAGGGTCTTGCGCAAGCCAAGTACCCGATTTAGGATATATTTTCAATACCTTAGCTCCTTAGCAGATTGCTCGAACTACTGAACACGTAATCATAACATATAGCCTAATAGAATATCTTTTAAAAAGTATATTATCACATGTAATTTTTTTGAAAGAAAAACTATCACATTGAGAATATTGAAATGAGTGCTGTCTATTATACAATGTCACCATTAAAGTGCGCACCATATGGGAAACTTTTTTTTCGAAAAGTTTCAATCAAGTTCTACTTCGACACTTGTTTGTACTTCAAATTTAACTTAAAATGATGTGGCCAACTGCGACCCACTGACGTTCAGTATTTGTCAAATTCAACTTTTTTTTTGAAAAAAATTGAAAAAGTGCATTTCTAGATCGAATTTAACAAAAAGTTACTTGAAAAAGTTATGTCTACGGCAATTTTATATCCATATGCCAAATTTCATGCAACTAGGATGAAGTTAACGTTTTGCTTATTTTTGACAGATATCCCCTTTATTTTAAAAAACAAGTTCGGTTAATTGTCAT